TGATCGCACTGCTGTCAATGCTTTTGCTTTTTGGCGCTGCCACTTTCTTCCTCCAAGGACTTCAGTTTGCTTTTGATTGCAGCTATTTTAGCACTTCGGCTCATTTGCCCCGATGAACTGCCGACAAGGCTGGTTTTGTTCGTGTCTCCTGTCGTTGCTTTTGAAGGATCTTGTGCTGCTTGTTCCAAGTACTTCTCACTAGCTATACGAACAACTAAAGGGCGGCCACACGCTAATCTCCCATGCATCTTCTCTTTGGCCAATTTAGCTTCCTGCGTACTCACTTTAATGGTGGAAATCAGGAATTGCTTAACTAATGAGAAGATGAAGAAGAAGCAAACAACTTACCTCTTTGGTGCTATATTGAATAAAAGCAAAGCCACGGGGCTCTCCGCGTTTTGGCCCCCGGGTATGCCACAAGAAGTCTTCTGACACAATTTTCCCATATGGAGAGAACATCTTTATCAAGGCAGCTCTTGGGAAGGAAAAGAAGGAAGATAAACTTTTAGCAAAATACTAAGCTGAACAACAAGAATTTTCACAAGAAGTTAGAACAGCATCCTTACTCAGTCACCCTTAGATCGAGATTCCCAACATAAAGTCTGCTCTCATATTTTTCATCAAGGAAACTATTAGGATCCTGCAGCCAGTTTCATACATTTAGAAGTCTACATGCCATCATCCATCACATTAGAGAAACACAGGTTATTGATGACAGAATAAACTACAATATCGCTGTTAAACTATAATGATCCTTTATGAAGAAATTGTACATGAGTATTTATCTAGTGACCTGTGACTAAAAAAACAAAAACAAAAGAAAAATGAAGAGGGAATTCCAAGCCACGCAGGAAATACTAACCCTACTAATAGACTAACTACAACGGAAAAGACAATGGAAAAGGACACTATGGGCAAACATTAACTAATATACATTAATATTCTAACAACTATAAATATACACCTATAATACATATATACTATCATCATCTTTTGGCAATCCATTTAAATCGTTTTCTATTAAGTTTCCAAGCCCGGTAAAACATAGGACAACAATTTGAACATCTGGCAACGTGTAAATAGTATACACTCAGCTAATAGCAACAAGTACAACGAATTGAATATGTAAGAGACGTTAAATTGCCAAAAAAAAGAAATTACGAACTATCTTTAGCATTATGATTTTGATAAATTCAATCACTTGACAGGAGGCAAGTAACACTTTTACAATCAAGACATTGTACAAAGTTTTCCATAAATCAGATTAGTTCATTTTAATTACTTGCAGCAACAGGAATCAAGAACAAACAAGAGCTATCAGCAGTTAGTACACAAGGTAAACAGATGCTAAAATTGGGGCATGTGACAACCTAATTTTTTCAATTTCCAAATAATTAAAAAAAACCCAGAGAAAGCAAATAATTCTTTTCCCATAAGTATGCTAAAAGAATACATAAAGTTTACCATGTAACTGCGAAGGCAATTTGGTACAGAGATCCAGCTCACAAGCTTGTAAAAGGTTCAGGATTTAAAATATCACAATTCACAGCTTGCATCAACCTGCATCTAAAAAATGAACAACAGTCAGGACTTTCTTCCATCAACTATTATACCAGAGCAACATCCATAGTTTAGTTTTCAACTACTACACAAGAAATCTTCTGATTCCAAGCACTATTGCATCACAAATACCAGAAGTTAAAGTAAAAACTTAGCAGCAGCTTGGATACATATTAAATATTGCCATATCATGACCAACCCTATACTAATTGCCATCTCCAAACCTCTTTGATTTATACCAAAACCCAATTGTTAAATCCCAAAAACCAAACCAGTATGTCTTTTAAACCTGAAATCACCTGAAAACTAACAAGCAAAGGCAAGTAGGTGCCCATCTAAAACCACGTCCTCTCAGTTTCTGACATAGAAAGTTATGGACTGAAAGAGCATAAACCCTTAATCCACGAAATGAAATGAAAAACCAAATTAAGCTCAAATGGCTTCATCCATAAATCACACAAGTCACCCGCAAAACAACGATACCTAAACTTCCTAACACAAGCTCCTTCTCCACATCTTCCTCAACTGTGCACATCAATGCAAGTTGGAACCGGAAGTTGAACAACTAAACAATTGCCATAAGTAATGTAGCTCACCGAATTTCTGATTATGGAGTAAGTAAACAAGTTGTTCTCAGCAGATATAAGTAATCCAATATATATATATATAGAGAGAGAGAGAAGGAACAATACCTACGATTTTGAGGAGATCAACGAGTCACGTCAGCGAGAGAGACTACAAATCGAAGATGGCCAAAAGATTGAACTATTCATGAGTCTCAAAATCTGAAACTAAGAAGAACAACGACACAACACTCTAGGGCTCGTAACCTGGGAGAGAAAGTAAGAGATAAACAGAAAGTTAAGTAACCTCTCTGATCTTCTCTTACCTCTAATCTCGGCTTCCATTCTCCATCCCCGTAAAAGCTTTGATATTATTATTCTACTCCGACCTGCTCGCAGAATTACAGTTTTGAGCCGCTCGGCCCAGCACGCTTTTTTTACCAGGCCATACCTCGCATACCGTCTGAAATTTAGTAAAGCAAACCGAACCGAACCAACCGTACGTCCATTATTTAGCCCGATCCGGTTCAATTAAACCGCGCTCGATTTGAACCCGGCTCGTGACTCAGAGAATTCATTTTATTATTGACAATTGGAATATTTAAGAATATATTTTAAATTTATGACATTAATTAAATTAGAATTGTAAGAAAAATAATATCCAAAAAATATTTTTTTTACATATTACGTTATAAACTCTTAGTATTGCTTTTATTCACCACCACCACTACCGCCACCACCAATTTACCACCAACCCACCTAAAAATTTCAACAAAATTGGCCCACCACCATCATGATGATATAATCTAACATATCTATACATATATATATATATATATGCATGTACACACTATATCAAATAAATATTCTCGTGGGGTGGACCAACAAGTTCTTGAATCCACCCACCTAGCCTCATCAAGATTCAAGACAAAGAAAATGCCCAAAGAAAAAGAAATTACTATTTGAATTGGTGCCCAAAGATAAAACTATGCTTATATTTATATCTATGCACGTAATAATATGTGTGTATGGTCCAAAAGATGAGAGCAACCATGTATCATCTCACAAAGTTGGCGATGGATTATGTGGGTGACATGGGTTGGAATTTATTAACTTTTCAAATGAATTTACAAGAGAAATTATATATATATATATATATATATTACAAATAATATTATTGGTATAATACTAAATTTTTTATGTTATATTTGAAAATTACAATTTCAAACGTTAATTAAAAATAATAAAATATTAAAGTAGTTTGGTGTGTGTAATTTACTCAACTAGAGAGGGCATTAAAGGCCTACCGACGGGCTTTAATAATTGTGACAAGCTGTTCCCCTCATTTGGTGTTCTTGAATGCCTTCCACTTTTGTCGTGCGAGATTGATTGAAAATGGTATCCACTTAAATTATATATATCTCCCGTACTTACATTTATGATATAATTTAATATAATGAACTTTAAACTTGTTTATATAATAAATTATTTATATCATTTTGTCAAAGTGGATTTAGATGGTGTCATAAAAATATTACTTACGGTTGAATCATGATGACAAATCTTATTAAAGTTTTCAACTCTATCACAAAATAATTAGTGGAGTTATAAGTTTAAATCCGAAGTTTTAAAAATATTATTAAAATAGTTATGAATTAAAATTATTTTTAGTTAAAATTTATTTATTGAGAAAATTTTAATTTTTAAAGCAAGTACAATTACATCAAAATAAAAATTTTTAAAAAAAATACACACAAAAATTTTACGTATGATAATATATTTATATTTACGGATAAGACTGACAATAAATAATTTTGTTATGTAATCTAATAGTATATTATCAATATGTTAGCGAATTTATTTATAGAGATAGTAGTAGAGTTTTTTACAAATAAAAATTCTTTAAAATGTACATCAAATATTTTTCAAGATAAATATAAAAAAATTTTATATAAATTATCCCTCAAAATATAGATAAATATCATCAAAATTCAAGACCCATCAATATTACTTAATAGTTTATATAAATAGGTGTAAAAAATATTATTATTTTCTGTAAAAAAAATTAAAATTTGCGTATTTAATAAAAATAATTTATGAAATTTTTAAATATAAAACTTTAAAATTATTTTTTAAGATATTGAATTTATTAAAAGTAGATTTTGATTCTGGTACTAAAAATAATTTATATTTTATTCAGTTAATTACAAAAATATTTTCAAACATGTGATATTTTGTGAAAAAGTTTTAAAATTAATCATCACAACATAAAACACAAATAGCACGTGAGATTTTCACCTCTCATACGGCTCCTCGTTCAATTCTTTTAAAATCATTGGGTCTTTTTCCTCGTTCGAGAATCTCCTCTATTCTTCCACTTCGTCCTTATTGACAATCATTTACTTCGACAGCATTTAGGGTTCTTTGAACAATGTAATATACATTCGATAAATCATTAATTCTTTTCTCTTTTATTAAGGTTACAGAATATTCTTATGAATTGCGACTAATACCGGATATATAAATAATTATTTCAAATTCAGAAGTTAATCGTACTATTGACAACTTTACGTAAGATAGAGTTTGATTATTTGGGGGTGATAATGCAAAAATTGATAAATAATTTAATATATGAGTGGAAAAAGTTTGATCTTTCGAATTATATTAAAAGTAATTATAATGAGTATTTGTAATTATGTCGCGCTCTCACGCTCTCTCTTTATTTAAAGTAAAGAAAATTTTTTTAAAAGAGAAATTGAAAAAATTAGGTAAGTTAGAACTAAGTATATTTTAAATTATTTTTTAATAAAAAGTTAAAATTTTATAAAATTGTTATAAATTATTTATTAACTAAACGATTAATATTTTTTAATAAAAAATTACAAAATTATATATGATGAAATTTTATTTAAAAAATTATATAATTTAGTAAATATTATAAGAATTCAAGTTAAAAATATAATTAGGTTCGTGAAAAAAAATTATAATATAAATTGTTCTGTAATTAATAATTAACCAAAAGAAGTAGTAAACCCGCCTAAAAGATTTTTTAACTTCGAAAAATTCGTCTTTGATTTCCATGGAAGATCAATGCCATCAAGAAGAACGTGTCGTAATCTACCATTTTCGGCTTGGATGATACTGTGGAAAGAAAAGCAGAGAGTCTGATCCAAATCCACTCTCATCCACTTGTCGAAAAGTTCGAAACCAGCTAGTTTGTTTGTTTGAATGTGAATGCTCAGAGCAGAGGGAGAAATTCTTCAAATTCTTTCCAGAGTCCTGTCATGGTTGAAAACAAGTCAACAACCCAGACTCTGTTCACTACACCCCCAATCTCTCTGCAACTAATGCCGCTACGTCTTCTTCTTCGTCTTAAAACTCCACTGTTTCCTTAGCTCCAGAGACCTCCTTCCATGGAGATCAAGTCCAGTACCCTTTTGTTTCTCTCGTTCTTTCTTTTCTCTCTTAATTTCTCGACGTCTTTTACTCCCGCAGATATCTACCTTATCGACTGTGGATCAGGCACCAATTCGTCTCTCTTCAACCGCGTTTTTCTCGGCGATTCAACGAAACCTGGGTCGATTTTCCTTTCGACAGAGGGATCACTTTCGCTTACTGATCAAAATCCATCTCCAGATTCCCCGGCCTTGTACCACACAGCTCGAGTTTTCACCGGTGAGTTAAGCTACAAGTTCAGCATCAAGAAAAACGGAACTCATTTTGTACGTTTCCATTTCTTGCCGTTTGTAGCTCAAAAATTCGACTTAACATCTGCGAAATTTGACGTTCTAGTTAATGGATTTTCGGTATTGAGCAGTTTCAATACAGAAATTATGGTGCTAAAAGAATTTATACTGAGACTAAATGGGGAAATGCTTGAAATTAAGTTTAGTCCAATGCGTGATTCCGGTTTTGTGTTTGTTAACGCAATTGAAGTATTTTCAGCTCCTAGGGACTTTATAATTGATGAAGGAACTAAACTGGTTAGTGGTAATGGGGCTCAAGAGTACAAGAATCTTTCAGCTCAGGTTTTAGAGGCCATTCGTAGGATTAATGTTGGGGGTTCTAAATTAACCCCGTTTAATGATACTCTATGGAGGACTTGGATTCCCGATGAGGATTTTTTGGTTCTGAAATCTGCTGCAAAACGTGCAGTCACCACTCATACTCCTAATTACCAGAGTGGTGGGGCAACTAAGGAAATTGCACCTGATAATGTTTATATGACTGCACAGCAGATGAACAGGGATAATTCAACAGTGCAGGCAAGGTTTAATATCACCTGGGATTTTCCTGTTGGTGTCGGTGTTGCTCGACATCTAGTTCGATTGCATTTCTGTGACATTGTTAGCATATCTCTTAATCAGCTGTACTTCAATGTGTATATCAATGAGTACTCTGCCTATAAGGATCTTGATCTCTCCACACTTACCATTCATGTACTTTCATCTCCGGTTTACATAGACTTCGTGGCAGATTCAGATGAAATGGGAGTTATCAGGGTAAGTGTAGGCCCATCTGATCTTAGCACTTCTTTGAAAGTTAATGCTATTCTGAATGGGGTGGAGATCATGAAGATGGTGAATCTTGCAGCCTCACAAACTTCTCATGGAAAGGAAAATGTATGGATATTTGTGGGGCCAATTGTTGGAGGGTTTGTTGTATTATGTCTTGTTGTACTCGCAGTTTTGCTCATTTGCAAACGCAAGAAGAAGAAGCCGACACCAAGGCCAGCTGAAAGTATGGGTTGGACACCTTTACGAGTATATGGAGGCAGTTCGTACAGTAGAATGTCTGAAGGGACTGCCAATACTTCTCCAGGTCCAAACGGATATCACAGTTTGAAAATCCCTTTTGCTGATATACAGTTGGCAACTAGCAATTTTGACAAGACTTTGATAATTGGTATGGGTGGATTTGGTATGGTTTACAAAGGGGTGCTTCGAGACAATACAAAGGTAGCTGTGAAGAGAGGTGTACCGGGGTCTAGGCAGGGCCTTCCAGAATTCCAGACTGAGATAACCGTTTTATCCAAGATTCGACACCGTCATCTTGTTTCACTTGTTGGGTATTGTGAAGAACAGTCAGAAATGATACTGGTTTATGAGTACATGGAGAAAGGGCCTCTCAAGAGCCATTTGTATGGGTCAAAACATCCTCCTTTGTCGTGGAAGCAAAGGCTTGAAATATGCATTGGCTCTGCAAGAGGTCTCCACTATCTTCATACTGGTTCAGCACAAGGAATCATCCATCGTGACATCAAATCCACCAATATTTTGCTTGATGAAAATTATGTGGCTAAGGTTGCTGATTTTGGTCTTTCAAGATCTGGTCCATGTCTTGATGAGACACATGTAAGCACTGGCGTAAAAGGTAGTTTTGGATATCTTGATCCTGAGTACTTTCGAAGACAGCAGCTTACAGATAAATCAGATGTTTATTCATTTGGCGTTGTTCTTTTTGAGGTTCTTTGTGCAAGACCTGCTGTTGATCCATTACTTTCTAGGGAACAAGTGAATTTAGCAGAATGGGCAATGCAATGGCAGAAGAAAGGCATGCTTGCGCAAATTGTTGATCCTCGTCTTGTGAGTCAGATAAAGCCAAGCTCTTTGAAAAAATATGGGGAAACAGCAGAAAAATGTTTGGCTGATTATGGTGTTGATAGACCATCAATGGGTGATGTGCTGTGGAATCTGGAGCATGCATTGCAACTCCAAGAATCTGAAGCATACGAAAGCAACAATGTAAACATATCTGAGCTCCCAGCAACTAGCAGCAATGATCCGCAAGTTCCATCTAGCAGCAACTCAAGAATAGATCGAGATGATGGTAAAGGTAGTTCAGATATAACAACAAGCCAAGTTTTTTCTCAGTTAATGACCAATGAGGGCAGATAGGTTTATGCTAATATTGCAATTCATACAGTCCATGAGCATGGATAGTCTGGAGATCATTTATATCTCCAAGGGTCTTTTCCAAATTACCTTGCAGGTACCAATCTGAATTTAACCTTATTTATATATTCTTTCTTGGGTCTTTCTTGAGTATACCTGTTCTCCAAAATATGCATGCATATATGATAGCTTTATATTTATCTGGATTTTCAGAGCCCACATTAATGGGCGAAATTAATTACAATAAACATATTTTCCCATTCTTAAACGATGTAATCATGATATATATATAATTCTGTTGTATCTAGCACTAGATGGATGTCTTCATTTTAATGCCAAACATTGTAGCTTTCTTAGTAAAAATGCATATATCTTCTTGTATCCTGCACTCTAGTACCTGAGATGAGAATGAACTGTCTGCGGATGACTTTGTAATTTCTTGATGTAATCCGATTTGGTTGTTGTTTACTATGTCATCTCATGCAATACCATAACAATTTATAAATATTTGCATCATTGCATGATATATAGAAGCCAAATACCGACCATAAATGTCCTTTCTCTTTTCCTTCCTTATCCGACCATGCCTATCATCAGCTTAGTTTCTAATATTTTTATGCATTGTTATCTAGCGGGAACAAATATGCTTATGCATGAATCATAATACTATTTTTTAATGAGAACATGCGGAAATACACAAATGCAGTTTCTATCTTAAACTCTACCCTCTAGTATACTTAAATTTCACAGAAGTTTCAATAATGCAGGTTTGAGAGTTCTAAAACTTAGAATTTTCTTTTGTCAGGTTTAAGTGATAAAAACATGACAACTTTGGGGTTTGGATAATTGCTTTTATATCAAGTTTTGGAATGCTTGTCCTTGATATTATATGTGGATATATACACACACACACACACATTGCATATGGTAACAGAAGCAGGTCT